AAGACAAGAATCATAATAAATTAGGGTACTGAGATTTCAAGAAGAAAAAAGAAATGTCAAACAGGAGAAGGGAAACTGGAAATGTGACATAACTTACATCCACTCAGAATTACAATGGTTGTAACACCTCCTTAACCCCTGCAGTGCCTGGGAAGGGGGCGTTCTGCTCACCAGAACAGTGGGGACATCATAGCAGTGGGGTATTGCAAGAAGTATTCAGTACTCCTCATTTCTTTTCTCTTTCTTTTTTTAGTGAAACAGAATTTGTACTTAAGCCATTAAATATTTCACATAGATTGAAGAAATTTTTCACTGTGCTTTTATAATATGGATATACTTACCTATTTAGCATTTCCAATCAGAAACATTTTGAGGGACAATCTTTTAGGTATGGATATGTGGTCTTTCTAACTTGTTTTGCAACTGGTGATAAAATTATTTCTTCCCAAGATGTGGTACATATACACAATGGAATATTATTCAGCCATAAGAAGAAAACAAACCCTACCATTTGCAACAACATGGATGGAGCTAGAGGGTATTATGCTCAGTGAAATAAGCCAGGTGGAGAAAGACAAGTACCAAATGATTTCACTCATACGTGGAGTATAAGAATAAAGGAAAAACTGAAAGAACAAAACAGCAGCAGATTCACAGAACCCAAGAATGGACAAAGAGTTACCAAAGGGAGAAGGATTGAGGATGGGTGGGAAGGGAGGGATAAGGGGGGTAGTGGGAACAAAGGGAGCCTTACAATTAGCATGTATAATGTTGGGGGGTAGCATAGTGAGGGATGTGCAACACAGAGAAGACAAGTAGTGACTCTACAGCATCTTACTACACTGATGGGGGAACTTGGTGAAGGGGGGAGCCTAGTAAACATAATGTTTCTCATGTAATTGTAGATTAATGATACCAAAAAAAAAATTATTTCTTCCCAGAGCATATTGGGAAGCTCCACTCTAGTCAAGAATGGAATAGTAAGCCATTTCTTTTTCCTACATCCTCTTACAATCAAGCCTTTTAACAATCACTGTGTTCTTTCTCTGTAACTTTCTTTATAAAAAGTATTGACTTAATTGATGTATATTAGTTCAGACTCCTTTATGCAAGTGTCATAAATCTATGTAGCTTAAGTAATGAGTAAATTTTATTACAAGGAAAATGCTATGCCACAAAACCCATGGATAAAATTGAGGCTGTGGCTAAGAAAGTCCTCATAATTCTCCAGCCATCTTCTTCAGTCTGTCTCTGTAATTTACTTTCTTCTCTCTAATTATACTATTATAACACAAAACACTTACTCTAGCTGTCTGATGCACAGAGCTGTAAATATACCCTGAAAAAACTCTTGAGCTGTAGGATTTTAGAGCTTCAGTCATTAGAGGGATCCATTTCCTTGGTTTTCCAAATCAGAAAAGATTACCAATAATATATATCTTTATCTAGCAAAGATTTTATCATACAGGTAGCTTCCAAAATGATCATGATGATAATGGCAATAGTTAGATTAAAAGCCTATAGTCCCATAATTATTCATGAATCTCATGGGCCAAATGAAATTGCAGGCATGCCAATCACTATGATATGACTAAATCCCACCTTCTTATTACCCTAGCCATTGATGGGGAACAAAAGACCCTTCACATGATCAAGCTTGTCCCTGCTGGCTTAAGAACTGAGCACGACTGGTCCTAGACATGGTAGATATCAAGATCTATACCTTGGTAAGTACTATGTACTGAATTGCATGCCTCAGACATGACTGTTTTCAGAATAGGGCCTTTGGGAGATAATTAAGGTTAAGTAAGGTCATAATGTGTGGTCCTGATTTGATAGGATTAGCAGCCTCATAAGCAGAGGAGGAAAGAGGCAGCTCTCTCTTGCTCTCCATGCACATGCACCAAGGAAAGGCCACACGAGGACACGGTGAGAAGGCAGCCGTCTGCAAGCCAGGAAGAGGGCTCTCACAGAGAAGCAGATTGACCAGCACCTTGATCTTAGACCTCTGGACTCCAGAACTGTGAGAAAATTAATTTCTGTTGCTCATGCCACCCAGTCTGTGGCATTTTGTTATGTAGCCCAAGCTCAGACAGTGGGCATAGGCAAAAACCAACAAACCGTTCTTGCAATTCTGTCCAACTTTACTGTAGGACCCTATTCCAGTTTCTAGCCAATACCACTTCCTAGCCTGAGTCTGTTGGTTTCATCAGTGACTCTGTAAGATGGCCTCACTCTGATTTAGCCTCCCCCACCTTACCCCACCCACAAGTTCATAGGAACCACTCTCAGAAATCCATTATCTTTTCACAAAGTGTTATTAGTCATGACCAGATTGCTTCTTTAACCAAGCCCTCCCATTTAGGGATCATTAAATTCCTGAGACCTCTACCTAGTCTCCAGTTTACCATTCTAAGTCTCAGGCCTGCAGCCAAACTGTCCACTTCTGCTGAACTCCAAGCTCCTGCCTCTGCAAAGTCAATGCGGTCTGTGCATATAGTCATTACTCTTCACAGTAGCTGGTCACGAAGAGCACATGGAGCACCAGGTCTTCCATGGAAGGCAAAGGGATCAGGAGAGGAAGGAGGTCAATCTCTAGATAAGTCAACCATTACAGAGCCTGGAAAAACATAAGATGTTTAGCCTTCTACTACCTCACTGTAGTTTATTTTTCTCCTCATTCTGTCTACCTAAGACCCTTAAACTCCTCACTTTTCACATATCTGGAGCTAATCCCATGTGAGAAACACTTAGAAAAACAAGTGTGACAGCTCTGCTTGAGGCCCAGAAAGGAGGCTCTTTCTGAAAGGGGCCCTTTGGTTGTTTTCCCAGGTAAGACGTTTAAGAGTTGATCCCCGTTGCCTGAATTCCTTTCTCACCACACCCAAGGTCATTTTAATGAAAATTCCAAAGTCCAAGCCAAGAGGATTGAATTGCTCTTAATCCTTCAACAGTGCCGTCATTTGATCCCTAGACCCTCTGGGGTGATTATTGTGTGTCTGCAGAGCACAGCTAAGCAGACAGAAGAAGGAAGTGTCGGGAAGTGTCGGCTACTGCAGGAGGCTGGTTTCCAACCCTTATTTCTATGCCGATGTGCTGTTCTGATCTCCCAAGACCCAGTGGCCTGTTCCCTCCCTCCCATCAACCTTTTTCCCTACACCTCAAGACGATGCCGTCTTAGCTGTTCATCTTTCAGAGTTCACAGATTCACTAGCATTTTGTTAATAGCACTAATTTTGTTGAGAAAATTGAATCCAAATATAATTTATTTCCTGGTTTTCTCATGCTCAGAGGAAGCTAAGTTTAGTGTGGAACATGCAGTTAGTTATCTTTCACAACACTCATATCTGTGATGTAGCTTTTTGTTAGAAAGCTGAAAAATTGTGTTATAAAAGGAAATGGAAAATGAAAGACACAACTTGTGTGCTTTTTCACTTTTTTAGTTTGTTTTCATTTTGTTTCTAACTTCCTGAGTGATGGGGGGAATGGAAGGGCTGACGACCAAATGTCTGGGATGTTCTGGGACCTCTCTGTCCCCCGAGCCAGATATGCATACATTCTCCAGCACTGCGAGACTAATCGTCGGTCTCGGCCATTCCTCACTAATGACCAGACTGCGCGGCAGCCCCCAGCTTCCTGTCTTGCTGAACTCTGGAAGCCACTGATCGCTGGCCTGGCCAACCTGCCACCAGCTCCCAGCAAACCTGCCAGAGTCATCCACTGTGGTATTTTCTGGCCTCTGAGATTAAAGGGGTAGATCCTTCCCTACAGCTGGCTGAAGGGAAGGGACTTAGGGGTGATTGATTCAGGGTGTGAGACAGTCCTTTCTCTCCAGGTCCAAGAGGCGGACATGTCTAGGGAGCATCCTTCTTATGAAGAAACTTCCCTTATATTAAAATGGCCAGAAGAAACTTCCCTTATATTAAAATGGCCAGAAGAAACTTCCCTTATATTAAAATGATCAGAAGAAACTTCCCTTATATTAAAAAGGCTTAAAATGATTGAGAACCTTAAGAGAATTTTAGAAACAATATCTACGTGAAGATAAATTTGAAGAATGAGCATTATAATTGTCTTTAATTTCTCCTTTTTTTCCACCCAATACAGAGTGCTTGGGAAACATTAAAAATGGATCTGATTATTTTTCTCACAGGAATGAAACCATACCAACTTATATTCCCTAACCTTTTCCTCCTCCCTCTGTCCCTCAGAAGTTTCTCCCACCGGCACTGTTCAGCCATAATAGGAGGCAAGGAGAGATGAGGCAGTGAGTAGCTGCGCAGACCTACAGACTGGGAGCATGCAGTGCCCTGCTGTCCCTCATGACTTGCTCTATCAAGGGCCCCTGTATTTTGACTCTTAAAAGGCCTACTTAAATACAATGGGAGTTCAAATCAAGCTACTATGACTGATGCATTTGAACTTCTTTATTCATTAAGAAACACCCCTAACTTCAATAAAGGAAAGAGAGATCTTTTAGATTTTTATTTCAATTCTTACAGAAAAAAAAGAGTAAAAGAAAAACAATATTTAGAAGGTCTGTCAAGAACACAGCAGATCACTCTCCCAGAGCCACTCCATAAACCTCACAGCCTGTCCCCTTGCCTCCATCTGCGCCTGTGCATGCACACGGAGCAGCAAAGTCACTTCAGTTACACAGCTGCCACAGTTTTCAGACTTTTTCAGGGAAGCAAAAACAATCAATCCTCTCCAAATAATTGTTGGTACCATAGCCTCCTATATAAACCAATAAAATGTTTTAACATTGCTTGACTGCTTTCAAAAACCTACATTTACTTATGTGGTCCTCAAAACACCTTTTGAGACGTAATTTTGCTTTCCCAGTTTTACAGGGAGGAAACTGAGGTTTAAGGACATAAGGAAAATAAGGAAATGGAGTAGGGACCAGAACGCAGGGCTTCTGAATCTGAATCCACAGTCAGATTCTAGTCCTACACCTGTGACCACTCACAGGCCATCTGGCCCTGAGGACACTGGATAACATATTTAGGTGTAGACTCCTTGCTTGCAAAAAGGTTGAGAAGAAGAAGTAGAGGAGGGTTGACCCAGCTGATGTTTACAAGTCCATAAATCCAAGAGCCTTTTCAGGACCCCTCATGGCCATGGCCTCTTCTCAAGGTTTCCTGAGAGTAATCAAAGACTTTCCACTTCTTTGTTTAAGCAAGAAGTCAATGCAAGTCATCAAGACCATTGAGAGTTTTATCAAATGGGCAGATTCACACTGAATGGAAAAGGTGCCATTCTTAAAATCCCCACAGATCCATGTGGTATATGTCCTTAGTGTGATCAGTTTTCTTGTCCTCACTGAAATTTAGGCTTTACACTAACCTCCAGCAGCTGTTACTTCCATTTCACAAAGACGACTCAATGGAAACCACTGTCCCTCTTCTTTGTCTCCCCCAAGACACCACTCAACTCGAATATGTTTCCAATAGATTTCACTGAAGCTAAAGTTCAACAGAGGAGGCTGGACAACACTTTAAATTAACATGCGTCACGACACACCCTCTTCTTAGAAGTTCTCTGCCGCTCCGGCTCACACAACGTTCTCATTGGCTGGCATGTCTCAGGCAACCCTTTCCCGGAGCCTTTCTGCTCAGATCTTCCAGCACCACCACAGACAAGGGAAGGGGGAATTCAAAGAATACAATACAGAAATTTTCTAGATAAAAAGCCATCACCTCAGTCAGTAAGTACTTCCCTCCTTTTGGGACCGATGTAGCCGTAAACAGGTGTGTTTTTAAAAAGCTTTTTTTTCTCTGTGCCACACTGATGTCAGTTAATGTGGTGCAACAGAAAAGGTGCTTGGCTTGCAGCCCAGTCTGGCTTTTGCTCCTGGAGCTCAGTTTCCCTGTCTAAAGAGGAAGGGACTCAGAAAAGAATGGATTCTTACCTTCTTTTTTTTTACAAATAGGAGTTCTTTTTAATTCACCAAGCTCAAGATTCTTGGAAACAGAAGAAAGCAAGGCCGGCCATCAGCTTCAGGTGCCAGTTCAGCTACTGAGAGCCAGGGGTTGGGGTGGCAGGATGAGCCCGCCGGCTCAGCAGAAAGGAGGTAGGTGTGGTACACACTGGACTGAAGTCAAATAACCTGGTCCTGATCCTGGCGCTGCATTACTCTTAGGAGTAATCAATTACTCTTGATGTTAGTTAAATCACCTAACCTCTTTAGATCTCATTTGATTCATCTGTGTAACAATTTGTTCTTTCTGCCCCATCTATTTCACCAGGTTTATACGTGACTGAAATGAGGGAATGTGTGTAGAATCATAAAATGTTATTCAAAACATACATCATTTACTCTCAACTGGCAGCCACTCCCAGCAATATCAAAGAGCCATCCAGGGTGAATGGCCTATCATATGTAGATTTTGTTAAATGGATCACAAATCCTACTTACCAGGACTCTTTTCTATCAATTTTATGTCAGTTATCTAATATGCAAACATCTGAGAAAATGCAAGTGGTCCTATATAATGCTTGTGGGTGAGATTTGATTACAATTGTCATTCATGTTGAAATACTGGCACAGATATAGACTGTATCAGCATCATATATGAAATATATATGTCTTTATGACACTCATATGAAGGGGTAGAGGAAGAAACAGTATTCCTCCTCTATATTTTATTTTCAAAACCATAGAATTTGGAGCATTTATTATTATATATTATTATTTTATTATTGCTATTTTTGTTAATTATGCTCATCTTTATTATTGTGACATACAGTCTATTTTCCTTTCTGGCCATTAGCCTAAATACACTAAAGCCTCATGCTTTAAGAGCAAGGGAAAATTTAAAAGATATTAAAAAATCATTGTAATTTATCATATTAATTTGGCTACCAGTCGTGTCATTCAGAAGTTGTACAAATTGAATTCATAAATATCATAGCTTTACAAGATCAAGAAAGAAATTAAATTTTGAATATAAAAATTTCAGGAAAGAGAATAATTGGATTAAAGTTCAAACCTGCAGTCAAATTAGGAAAATATTCTCCACACAATTAATTTTCTTCAAGTTCAAGGGAATATAAGTATTTTTAATCACATACACCATGCTGTATTTTAGCATTATTTGTTTTTAAAATATAGATTATGTGGGTTTTGTTTCTTTACCAGAATTATAAAATTTCTAGATGCTTTTTTCTACTAACAATAAAGAGAATCAATCTATTTCCTGGGAGATAAACACCGTGTAACTTCATGGACTGAAGGAAAGGTCCTTGAACACTCAGAGCTTATGTTATTCAAAACCATCTTTGAGGAAAATGGTTTCAACCACTACCTTCTCTCCCTTGTTCCCTGTCAGTTACTTGGATTTGAGAGCTTGCCCCATGGAGTGGGGGTAGAAGCAGGCACTGTCCTAACCAGAGACTGGAAGCAGGGCCCACTGTACTAACTTAGAGCATGGAGGAATGAAACATGGTCCTTCTTTGGACCTATGCTGGAAGAAGTGGCCTCTCACGCTGAGGGGCACCACTCACACCAAGGCCAACTCACTTTATGACACATAAGTGCAGAATGAACAAGGAGTGTTGCAACTCACTTAGCTCAGATGACTGCTTCCCCGGCAACTCAGAGCACTGTTCATGAAGCCTGTTCTGCATTCCAGAAAAACCAAAAAAAAGGAGAGCCCTGATAAGATAACCAGGTAATTAATGAGGCAATTTCCCCTTCCTGCTCACATGCTGTATTTATTTTTTAATATAAATTCTCATCATCATAAGCAATAATACACTCTCTTCCTGTAACCTTTAAGAACCTGGCCAAATGGAGCTGTACAAACACGCTATTCACGTTTTTCTGTGGGGTTTTTTTTCCAGGTTTTAGCTTACAAAAAAAGTCTTATAAATATACTCAGCTATTTTGTTTTTTCAGTTTTTCTTTGCTTTCCTTTGATTCTCTTCTTTTTTACAGAATTGATTTCATCTTCTAGTTTTATAATTACATTATTTTTTCATATTACATAAAGTGGACATTTTCCATGGAATCAAGTACTGAATTTTTTAAACAATTGTAGCAATAGGATCATTTTTTCAATAAAATTGTATGTGGACCTCAGTTCATCAAAAATAGACAAAAGTTTAGCCGTATTAAAATAACTTAATGGCCTATTACCCCACCCATGTGTCCCCACCCTCTCCCCTTGATTCATAAACTGCCCAGAACAACAGAACATAGGTAAAAAAAAAAAAAAAAAAAACTTCTGGTGTATCATTTCTAATGAACATATGGCATTATATATATATTGCTTACTGTCCAATTAAAAAACATTCTTGTACATTTTTTAACTTATGGTAAATTACTTGATGGCTGAAGGGAAATCATTAAGCTCAAAATTCCATATTGGGTAAAATCATTAATGACTAACTGGCAAGGGTCAGACATGATGTGAAAACACTTGCTCTGCCAATCTGTTTCATTCCGGATCCTGAGCTAAAGTATTTTTACAATTTGAGATTCTGGACCTTGTCAGAGAATTTATGTATGCCAAATTGTTATGTAATCATTGAAAAAACAAGGCTTTGGAAGCACTAAGGAAATAAATAGAGCAATCTGAGATTTTTTTTGTCTTATCAGGGCAATAAATCTTTGAATTTTCTATGCAGTCACGCAGAGCATAATTTCTCACTGAAACTGTTACTTAGCATATTCTCTCCAATGGCAGGCTGGCCTTCATCCTGATCATGGTTACTTTTGAGAATAACAAAGGACAATAGTTTTCCTACAGGGCATCTTAGTTTAAGGGTCTGAATAACTGATTTAGTGTGACCAACTTTCCACCAGCTCTCCAAATTTAAAGGTAGTGCCATGTTCCAAGAGACTTTTCTGATAGACTATCTGTACATTTCAGTTGGCTAAAAATTTGGATTTCTGTCATGGTAGATGTCAGGGATTGACACAGTTCATGGAAAAATCATGGAACCCTTGTGCTCTAACAGACTGTTAACTTGTGGTAGGCGGGATTTGCTGGGCTTCTTCACAATATGACCAAACAGCTGCCCACCTTTTATGGGCAGAAACTCTATCATTTGTTTCCCAGGAAAAAACAGTTCCATGTGCATATGTGTGTACAGACAAATGCTTTAAGAAATAAATATCTTATTCCTTCATATCCCTTCTGCTCCTTTTATGAAAAAGAATTATGTCAGACTTCAGTTGATATTTACTTAAATTTCTAATCAAACAAAATACATGTATACAGCATATTCATGTCCACATTACACTGTAAAAGTGAAAAATGCTTTCATCCATGCATTTGATTTTGAGTCTAACAGCAGAAGTAATCAGTGAACCATCTGTCACACAAGAAAATCCATGACAGATCAGGGATGTGTTTATGAGAAAGTATAAAAGGAGTTAATAAAATAAGGAAGAAAATTACACATTGGGAATGAGAAAGGGATAAAAGAAATTAAAGTGGATAAAAATTTGGAAAGCAAGAAAGAAACCAAAATGTTCTTTAGAAGTAAAGACTTGAGCAGAAGTTTAAAGCATGGATACAGATGTTGATTTTGGAAAAGTTGCTTAACCTCTGTCGCAATTTCTTTTCCTTTAATATGCATCTCACCTTTATCACCAGCTTGTTCCCAGGGGTAAATAAGGAAATGGAGGTACCACATTTAGCAAGGTAGGGAGAGTGAAGAGAGATGTTCAGTGCATGTCAGTTAGCTATTAGCATTAGTTAGTGTAATTAACTTTAATGGTATTGTAATTATTTCTATTATTTATAGAACTTACCTTACTATTTTAACATAATTTCATCCTTTATTTTCTAAAAGTCAATTATTCTACATGTCAAATCTTGCAATTCTTCCTCTTTAAAATATTTTTAATACTAGCCACAAAATTTATAATACAAAGAACATTAGAAAAAAAATTTAGTAACAGTCAAACCAGTTCATCAGGTAGTACTCTTCAATCCAACTCTTTAAATCATTTTTTTAACAAAGTCACATCAACTTCTCATTTTTAATCCCCTGCCCAATATGATTTGGAAGTCCCAGGACTCTAGGAAAAACATTCAAGTTTTTCTCCATAGCCTGTACTCTTCCCCAACTCCTCCTCTTTTTCCTACTGTCTTATGTCCCAAAAATCAATCACAAAATCTAAAATCTCATTTTGCACAAGTGCTTGTCTTGGAAGGGAATAATCTAATCATCTTTCAGAATAGCTACCATCTTTAATTTAATTTACATCTATATTCTAACCTGATTTTCTTTCTTCTTTTAGCCAGAGTGAGCTCTGAGGACAGAAGCTTATGTCCCTTTGTTATATCCATCAGGGTAACCACTTCAAACCTGTCCATGGAGCAGATAATCAATCAATACAAATTAATGAATAATGTGCTTACTAAAGAGAAAAGGACAAGAAGCAGAGGTTAATTTCAAAGGTCACCCGATTTCAGATTCCTAATGAGAATTCACTGAATCTTTTGGGTTTCACCTTTTCCAAGTACATGATTGAGATGCCAAGTACAAGCTGAACAGTCTGCTAACAATCTGAAAAGAAAATATATTACCATGATTGTACAGGGAAACTGGAAGTGATTTTCTCCCGGGTTGGAGGTTTAAACAAACAGGAAGCCCTGTTTAGGATTTGTCTTCATCATCTTTCATCACAAGTCAGCCTGACTTCCTGGCGAAAAAATGTTGAACTGCTTTCATATACTCAACCAAATGGGACAGAAATGCCAACCTGACAATCTCCAACTTTAAGTTCAAAGTTACTATTTATGAACACCCCATCTCCATCAGACCACAACTCTCTCAGTGAAATTTTGCCTCTTAGTCTCTGTGAGCAGTGTGCAGAAAAATGAGTCTTTGTTGCTATCTAACCTCATAGTTAAAGGATCTCATTTTATTTCTACCATTGAACATGGAGAGGGTATGAAAAACAAACTGTATAGGAGAGAATAATAATTAATAATCATGAGCCCCTAACAGTGTTTTCTTCTCAGCATTATAAGGTAGTTTTCTGTTGCTACTTGAAAAAGCAGTATTTATGAAATGAAACTTTGATTTTTTTTACCAAAATCTCAAAGTCATTTCATGATGGAAAGTGCATGACACCTCACAGTTTGACTCTAATGAATATATCTAAAATACACTTTTTGAAATAAGCAATTCCTTAAACTTCAAATTTCATGAAACTATTTAGGTTAAACTATCATTACTAAAATAACAAATGCTTCAGTTTTCAAGAGAAAGTAAAACTCGAGGACTTTAAATTCAAATAAATAATTTTCTACAAAAACCCAAAATGAACTGATAATTCTCCGACATGAAGAAGCAAATGCTAAAATCTTCGTCTGACATTCCAGATGATACAAACTACAAAATGACTAGTATTTTATCTAATTAAAAAGGAAAAATACAAAGTTGGGACTCTTATGACTCTAAAGCTATAATAAATTATCAATTCACACAGAATAGTAAATATACCTTTTATTTCACTTGATGAGTTTGCAAGACCTATTCTCAAATATTTCTCATATTTCGAAATATGACTTATTTCAAGGTTCTTCTTATAGTATTCTTAAAAACCTTAGATTAATAAAAGCAAGGAAGAGAAACCAAGAACAGATTGACCAAATATGATTTGTACCATACTAATAACAATAAACATCTGTGATTTAAATATATCCTGACTCAAATTCTAGAAGTAATTGATTAACGCTGAAGCCCAGAAGAAGACAAGGCAGGCAGCTAACTACCACATCACAAACATTCCGGATGTTTCTGAACCCACAGTTCTCTCCCCACATATCAGCCTATGACAACCACCCTTCAGTCTTTTGTTCTGCCTTTCAAAATTGCATATTTAATATTTGGTTAAAAAAAAAAGCAGAGTAGAAAGAGGAAAATAAACTTGAACAAAGACATATTGTTTGTTTTCTGTCCAAGAAAATGAAATGTGCATTTGTTGAGAACCATATGAATGAGTTTCCTTAGAATGATGCAAACCCTGTGAAAAAAAAAAAATCACAAGAGTCATCACCACGGGTGGTGGGATGCTGAGCTTCCCACAGGAAGCAGCTCAGGTAATTGCTTGTTTGTTTTTGTTCTGAGCGGCATTCTATTATGTGCCTATGGGTTCCTTCTATGAGAAAATTTCCTGCATGGCCCATTTTGTTTCAGCATTTCATAGGCATTTATCTCATGTATTTAGAAAGTCCGTCATTTTAATAAGTGTTGTGTAGAAGAGATGACTAAATGGGAAATACATGTTGTTGGCAAACAAGCTGTATTACAACATAAGAAAATGTCTACAAATAATGTAAAGCTATGAACTTCACATTAGAAAATATAGTCACTTCTGGAATAAGACCACAAATCAGAGAACGATTGGATTATCTGGCTGGTTAAGTTGTCAGGAAGGAATTCCAATGTTGAGGCCACTACTAGACAAGCCCTTTGAAAGGAAGTAAAGATTTCTACATCACTACCTCCATCCCCATGAATCCCAGTGAGGTTAGTTTAAGAGTTCTACAAATACTTCTGGCTCACATACACTGCACCACACGCCATGCTCCCTGGTGGGGATACAGAGATGAATATTATCTGGTGTCTGCTGTCATAGAATTTAGTCCAGGTGGGAAAAAAAGACCCATAAACAGATCATTCCAAATTAAGAAAGGACATAATGACAGTTATTTCCTGCCGACAGTGGCGTCCAGGGAAAAGGAGGGCACTTGTAAGAAGGAAAGGGGTGTCCTGGAAAGCTTCTCTGAGGACACAAACTTGGGCTGAACTTTGAAAGATGGGCTGGAGATGTGCAGGCAGCGAGGTGAAGATGGGCAGAGGGAACTTCTAAGTTAGGAAAGAGTATGAGCAAAGACACATAGGTTCAAAGCAGGGTGAGAAGTGCCAGCAACTGCAGGCCATTTAGTATTACTGGGGTACATGTTTAAAATATACCAGGGCACAAACTTAAAAATTTAAGGCCAGAGAGACTACAAGGGCCCAGGTCTAAGAAAACACGTCTACCATGTTGAGGGGCTTGGATGGTGTTCAGTGGGTACTGGGAAGCCCCTGGAAAACAAAACCCTTCCAGTCCCTTCACTGTCCCTCCCTTGTCACCAGCACTCAGGACAGTCATAAGTGAGCACCTCAGAAAGCAGTGGGGTGTTCCAGTCGGGGTGGAGAGGAGAGGCACCAGATTTTTCTTTCCCTTCTGGTTGCCATCTCTGAATTAATGTTACCTCTGCTCTCTTTGCAACCTCACTGAATGGAACATAGGGTATTCAGGACACAGAATAGAAGGCTAATGAGAATCACAAACAAGCAATATTAAAAGAAATGTTCATTCTAATACAAGTCAAGGGGAAAATATATCGATAGCTAGAAACCAGAGAAAAAAAGACTAAGCAGGAATAAAGGAGCAGGCACGTATAGAGGGATACAGAAAAATCTGTAAAGAATGAGATGGTGTAAGTCCAGGATCACAAAGGATGACACATGCATCACTGTGAGAGAGCACACCTAGGTTGGTTTCACATGCAAAATAGTGTTTTGATGCTTACATAAGTGATTTACACACATATTGTAAGAGGTGCAGTTACAGGGAGACCTATTCTAAAACCTCGCACAGCAACTAGTCCCACTGTTTTAAAAGCTATACTCTATAACCACGTATAGAAACTAAATTAACCAGGAGAGGAAAACCAAACGTATTTGGAAAAGCTGAGTGAGGGAGCTGAGCTGAGAAAAAGGAAAACATAAGAAGGCAGGCTTAACAAAAGAGAAGAAACACAAACCCCAGTTGTGATCGTCAGCAATGTTCAGTGAAGGTTCCGTATGTGCTGCTCTGGGTAGCATGGTAAGGGCCTTAATCACATCTCATCTATCCCCAAATAGTCCTCTTATTATTTTGCCAACTTTTAAGTGAGAAAACTGAGGCCTAGAGAGGCTGAGCAGCAGAGTTGCTACACTGAACCCATGCAGGTAATAAATGGCAGAATTGGAACTGGAATCCAGGGAGCCAGAATCTAGGCCCCGAGTGGGAAGAGTTTGCTCTACTAAAGAGAACAATTCCAGGTTGAAACCATGCATAAAAGGAAACAATCCAACCCCCAAAAAAGAATCCAAGGAAAGCTTCCCTCACAAATGTCATGAAAAAAGAAAAAAAGAAAAACTAGTTGTAACACTCTTCAGAATGTCTGTTAAAAAATAGTGACATTAGTGCTGTTTTCCACCATGCTCCAAGTGTAGTACCATTAGTTATGAGGCATAAATAGCCTGTTACTAATAACAAAGCATCTTGGTTTATAAATGAAAATTTCATAGGGAAAAACAATTTTGAACATCTAGAAAGAAGCCATAAACAATGTACCTTACTTTACATATATATACACATATCCTCCTATCCAAAAAAATGAATGAACTGAACTACAAAAGAAAGGAATTTGCCTATAGTTATGACAGAGCAAGTGGAAAAATCACTTTGGAAAGGACCTCTTGTCAGCAAACAAATATCTTATTAGCAGTATCTTTTAATTAGCTAAATGAAGAGAACAACCAATTACTCTGACCATAAGTTTATTTATTCAACATATTTTATTCAGAGCTAATAAGCTCTACAGCTTCATGGTGAATTTTTATTCATTTTGGGGCACTTATTCTGGCATTAGACATGATTTCTCTGTAAAAATATACTGTCCTGAATATTGTTATATTACACAAATATAGTTTGATTAAATCATGGCTAATATTGGCTTGAAAGACCAGTCATTATTTTTCCACTACTAATGTCTATAGTAATCCTTTTAGTGAAATAATGACAACTGATGTTATCATTAAATGACTAATGCACACTTTTAATCCAAACATCTTAAAATTTATTCAGCAAATCTTTGTCAAATTTCTAATAGGCACAATGAACTGTAGAGGATGTTTTAGTGATAAATAAGGCAGTGAACTGAATATCAAGAATGTTACAATGCAGTCAGCACCTCTTTTTATCTACTAACTCCCAGGATCAAAGCATACATATTTAAATAAACTAGCAGGGAAATCTTTCACAATACGTCTAAGAAAAGTTTATCTCCTAAGGGACAATATTTGTCTTTTTTCTCAGTATATCTTAACCATTCTAAGAAACAACCTACATAATAAGATTTCTATTTCGAAGGCAGTGGTGAATATGCTGCCTGATATTTCTACTTTTCACTTCCAAATGAAGCCAAGTTCTAAGTGTTCCTGTGATGGAAGAAAACCCACAACAGAAATTATTTGCTTTTTTTAATTTAATATGTTACAATTTCAGGTCATACTTTCCACAATGAAAACATGTCCACTTGTTGGCATGCTCCATTCTGGCTGAAATGACACA